GAAAATGCCATTCCAGTCCTGTTATGCTTTTTAGCTACACCCTGTAGCAAGAATCTCCCCAGACAAAACCCCCAGTCCCCAAAGCCCTCCAGCCACAACAGTGTGAATTCCTCAGGGAGGTGCCAGTCTCATCCTCTTGTAACTCCCACGCTCCTCTGGCGAACTAAGAAAATGTTTATCTCCCTGAGCCTGGCCTTCATAATTCCATCCCATCACAGTTCTTGCAGAAAAGAGGAGATGGGAAGGGGTGATGTGAAAAAGATGGTTTCACTGCATGGGAAAGAGCCTGGACTGGTCTCAACAGAGGACATGAATTTGGGGAGGGGGCAGTATCTGAAGCTGAATCACCTTCACGTACAACCATGTCAGGTGGGATTGAGCAGGGTTTGCTCTGGATCCCACACAGGGCCAGCAAGGAGGTGCCTGGACGCCCCAGATGAGCATGGAGTTCATCTGACTGTCCTGTGAACCGCTGCGTTCCCCAGAGCAGAAAATTTTGAGCTCCATCTTAGCAGAAGCAATGCAAACAAAACGAACACCAACCGAAAGAAAAATAAATGAAAAGAAACATCTCCTGCTTATTGTTCCTAAATGGAAAATATTACCTCGGGTGTTCCTGCCTTTATGGGGCTGTCAAAGGTCTCCTGGTATCATGAGGGATAACTCGGAGGCCCTCTGGAATCCCTGAACATGTTCAGATTCACGAGTTCCATGAATGTTGGGCAGTTTGGACCATGGATGGGATGGACCAGTTTTTCCAGCCCATGAGGCTATTCCCTGCTTCTTCTCTCTTGAATAAAAGGCTTGAACTGGTTACTAATTTAACCCATCCTCTGGGATTGCGCAATCCAGTGAGTCGTAGACAAACCCAACCCTCTGGGTTCACACAACACTCTATGCCACAAAAAATCTAAGCCAGGATAAAATTCACTGAGTGTAGCAAGCTGTGTGGCCCAGCATGTTGCATGAATGCAACCCCCTTGTTACACAACGGGGAGCCTCCCTGTCCTCTTACCTTGGCTTCCCCTTCGCCAGAGACTTTGCTTGGCCGGGTTTGTGTGGGAGTCTGCGTGTGCCACTTACCAGGCTAACCACCTCCATCCTTGCAGCTGCAGGAGAGCAGAGGCACAAGAAGCCGAAGAGGTCTGCCTGCCTGCCTGCCTGCCTGCCTGCCTGCTTCTCCAGGGTTTATAACACCTGGTTTATGCAAGAGAAGCCAGCACTGACCGGGGACAATAAGTCATCCGTTAACCCATCAGGGCCAAACTCCTCTCCAGCCTGGGCACCTGAGCAAACCATTAATGTCTGAGGAGGAGAAGAAACTCTATAGCTTTGAGGTGTGTGGCCAGACAACAGCAACCCTGTCTCCTTTTGAAGACAAGGAAAACAATCTTGAGATTTAAAGATCAGACTTACGAGAGATAGCCAAGAGCAAAAGCCAGACTTTCTTTTAGATTGGGGTAGCCAAACGCCCCAAACGCTACACATAATAAAGCATTTGGCACTGATAAAAATACAGGCAGCGTCTCAAACTGCCACAGAGTGCTATAGGGCATCTGGGCCACAGAGCTGATGGGAGGGATATGGCCTCAACTAACTTAGATGGTACAAGACGAAAAACAGTCAAAGTCTGTCACAAAAACCAGGGGCAAATTCCTTGAAACAAATACCATAGTCTGTACAGCGGACAAGCCAAGCTTGCCACAGACTTTGGAAGTTGTACTGTTTTCTTTAGAGGCTTCCCAACCGCCTCAGTCTGGGAACCTGGGCCCTCTATATACCGGCACGGCCAGAGCTGCAGGGTGTTGTTCAGCACCATCTGGAGGGTTGCAGGTTCCCCACCCCTGACATAAGCCGAGCCTTTGGGCGAACAGGTGTGGGAAAGATGAAGGCTCCTTCAAGTGAGCTCGGACCCTGATGACTACATGGACACACCCGTGCAGTTTTCTTGGCCATAATGCAGAAGAGCTTTGCTCTTGCTTCCTTGCAGGATGCATGGTGGACTCCTCAGCCCAGCTTACACTTCTGGAGTTCCAGAAGGACTCCCATCCTTTGGTAACCAGGCTTGATCCCGCTCAACTTCCTAGTCCAGCAAAGTCCTGTGATACCTTTTCCCATTTGGACCTTAGGCTCGCTTGTGGGGAAGGCTGGTCACAAACACCATGGACCTTGGCTGATGCACAGATATGGGGTTTGGGGTTTTCTACTGGAGAGGACCCCCTCCCACCCCAGCATCTGGGATGGCCTCTAGGGTCCTGAGCACATGCTGTGAAATATGGTAGCCGTCCACTGAACGATGGCGTCACAATTTCTCCTATCTTTTTGTTGAGGACACCAAATATAACTAACATTTACCTTCCTGTTGATGCTTCTGTCAAAGGTGTAGGTGGCTGTTCCAAGCCAGAATGTTCAGAGTTCAGGTTATGAACCTGATGCAGTTTGTTCCAGACTTTCCTTCTTTGGATTAGAATTTTCCTCGCTAGCTTCCTGACCCTGCAATGAACCCTCTGAAAGAAGGACCTGTACCTTCTTGTCTTTTCCTGTGCCAGCCAAGGCCTTTTGAGATGCAAAAACACCACTATATTTTGATAAACATCTGGATTTTCTCCAAGAGGCATCCAACCAGTGGGAGCAAAGGACGTGGTGAAGAGAAAGACGGAGGGCTCCTGGCTCTGGAAACAGCTCTTTAGTTGGCCCTCTCTGAAGTCCACTTTAGCAGTAAGTGGAACTTAGCAGGACCAAGGATCCCCAGACTGCCGTCTTAGAACATCTAGATCAGTGTTTTTCAGACTTGGCTATTTTAAGATGTGGGTGCTTCAGCTCCCAGAATTCCCCAGCCAGCATCTTAAAGTCTCCAAGTTTGAAAAACACCGATCTAGAGAATCCTCAGGTTGGCTCTTTCAAAGGCTTCTTTGGTCCAACGTGGCCAGTCAGATGTCCTGATGGGATTAAGGCTCCAAGCAGCACCGAAGCGAGCTTTGGCTCCCCAGAAGTTAAGTTCAAGATCAGCTGCCTCCAGTCCTGGGACTATATGGCCATTGTGACTAGCAGCCACCAAATGCCTTCTTTTCCATGAATTGGTCTAAGGCTCTTTCAACATCCTCTAACCAGGTTCCACCATCCTTAGGTCTGAAATAAAGCACATCTAGAAAGCCTGTTTCCCCTGTGATGCTCTGCTTCTGGGCTCTGGGGACGCCACGGACTAGAGAAGCCTCAGATCAAGAGATGACGCGAGAAGGGCTAGCTGCATGAGAGTACCCGGAAGAGGAGAAAGGTGATCTTGGCCCTTGCACCCAAGGAGACTTCATGCACTCCCTGCCGTTGAATTTCCATGCCCACATCCTGAGGTGAGAGTTGCGTGACTGTAATCTCTCCAGGTCAATGTAATCCACCAAAAACCTGGTCACCCCACGCTTATGTTTCCATTGCTTGTTTTATATGTGACGTTTAAAATATGTCCTATCACGGCAAGAATGTGGGGTCCTATACAGCTAAATGAATCTGATACCCCAATTTGTTAACAGGGCATATTTGCCCTCAGTGGTGGTGCCTACAATGCCTTCAACTGGCATCGTGACCGACTCCACAGGAGGACTAAATCTATACTTTACTGAAACAGGCTATAAAAACAGAATCGTGCAAGTCTGCCCTCCCCCTTATATCCAGGGAGTTGGGGGTGGGGGAGGGAGGGGAAGCTAATCTGAATGTCTCCTGCCTTTCTGGACTTAGCACATGTTTCTTCTGCTCCTGATGTTTCCCTAATGGCCTCTGGAATCCTTCCCCAAAGTCATCTCCCTGGATCCCAACAGATGAGGAGATACTTGGCCCCTTTCTCCTCCCTACTTGCAGGTCCACATCCTCTCGGGGTCATGTTCAAGAGATGGAAAGAAGGTGGATGTTCTGAGGATCATCGCCATCGCCATCACCATCACCATCACCATCGTCTCCTGAAGACCCCAGGTAGCACGGAGAGGGGATAGTGTTGATGGAGCTGGAAACATTGTTTGGGTGGCCATACTTGGAAGTAAATTAAGGCATTTGGCTTCATCCAGGCAATCCGTCTGGGGACCATAAAATCCAGGGTGGGATGGAGATGCAGCTGACAGGTTGCCCATCCTGGCTTCAGCCATTTCCAGCCAGGCTCTTTCAGGCATGATTGGGCTGGGAGGAATGTGGTAGAGCAAGTCAATTGAAACGAAGGAAGTGAAATCACTCTCTATCCAAAGAGGATTTCCCCAAAGATCAGAATCTAAACCCATGCTGGCTGGGGAATTCTGGGAGTTGAAGTCCACACATTTTAGAGTGGCCCAGGTTGAGAAACACTGCCCTAGAGAGTTTTATTCAGATTTGAGACACTCAGATTGCATTGCTTGTGCCTCTACTCACAGCCTGGCACCCTGGCTGAGTTCACACAACACCCTAGGCAAAAATGTAGGTGTATAGTTCAACGTTCGGTGTGCGGGGTGAACCCCTCTGTTGCACGGTCATAGTGGTAAGTTGAATGTGGTATATATTTGGACAGAAAATTCATAAGAATTCAGCAATAATGTTTTGCTGACCCAGGTTTAGGTTAGGTGAGTTGTGTGAACTCAGCCAAAGAATCAAGCACCTGTAAAAGGGGATTCAGCATAGCACCATCAAGCTTTTCACAGACAAGAGCTCCTGAGAGGCTACGACCAAGCCCTCTGCGTTCAAACTCCCTTGCGCACTCTGGCTGCGTTTACCCAACACATTTAACCAAGTCAATAAAAAAAACCTAGCAGCTCCATGTGTCCAACATGGTAATTTTGGTTAATTTTAACCTTGTTTGAGCTTTGGTTTGTTTATTTAATATTGGTTTCGCATGCAATATGCGCTTCGCCAAGGTATGACTCCCTGGATTGTGTGAACCCAGAAAACGGGATAATTCAGGGACCGGGTTAAGGGTGTGTTGTATGAAGGCAGCTTCGGGGAATCCCAGAGGCGCCCTGGGAGAGTTTAGCCTTGAAGAGCAGCGGCTGAAGGGCGGAAGAAGCAGGCAGGGGTCTACCCCGAGTTGCGCTCTTCTTCTGCTCCTTCCCGAAGTCGCTTTTTTTCTTAAAACAGCAGAATCCAGACACCGGGTCTTCCGTGCGTGGGCACGGCATGCCTAGCCACCCCGGCGTTGTTTTGCTGCAAACGCAGGGACCCAGAGAGCGAAAGGCGCAGCAGCATTTTAACCAGTAACCCGCATTTCCCCTTTTCTCGGTTCAGCTCTGGCTAAAGTTCAGTGGACGGGGCAAAGTGACACAGTCCACGGGAATTTGGTCCCAGTCTAGTTCTGAGCAGAGAGGCAGGCTGGAACTGGCCTCCTTGCCCTGGGGAGCCCACGTCTGCCTCCTCTGCTGCTCCGCCATCTCCGCCTGCCCTTATCCCACCCCCACCCCCCCGCTGAATTTCTCTCCAGTCCAAACTTCCTTTCCTCTGATTTTAATGTTAAATGTTTAAACCGGTGTTTTGCAAACCTGGCCACTTTAAGATGGGCGGACTTCAACTCCCAGAATTCCCCAGCCAGCATGCTTTTCTGCTTTTCTACTTTTAGGCAGAACCACTGCCAATCTTTTCAAAGGAGGTAGTCCTTTTTTGGGAGGGGCATTTTTAGAAGAGTGCTCTAGCTAGGAGAGAAAAATGTGCTTATAACGTGGGAGAGTTTACTTGTCTTGAAATGTTCTATTTATGCGGTGATTAGAGCCCGTTTTAGCTGATTCTTTAATTCTGGTGGATCAGCTTGTTTGAGGAGAGCCCAGTTTATCCCCAAGGGGTCTCAGTTTGCCAGCTGGCTTCTGGATCAAACCTTCAGAGTTCAAAGAACTGCTTGAATTCACACGCCATCAGTGGCCCAGAGGGATTTCTCGTGCCAGTAGGGGATTTCCAACTTTTGCTGGTTCTCCAACTGATCCCTCCCGCTCTCCTAGCTGGTTTTGGTTCTCCATTGTAAGAACCATTGTTAGAACTTTGCAACACCATTGGCTGATTGATGATGTGCTGTCAAGTTGTTTTTGACTCCTAGCAACCACATAGGTAGATTTTCTCCAGGAGGGTCTGCCCCCAACCTGGTCCTGGGCTTCCAAGGTGCCCCCATCGTCACTGTAACTGAGTCCCTCCCCCTGGCTGCTGGTCATCCTCTTCTCCTCTTTCCTCCCACCTTTCCTGGCATTAGAGCCTTCTCTAGAGTTAGGTCTTTGCATAAGGTGTCCAAAGTAGGATAATTTGAGTTTATTTTGCTAACTAGATTTTGGAATGGTCAAGTACTTAAAGTAAAGCCTAGGCTCAGATGGTTACAGCAAGACAAAGTCACCACTGAAGTGAGGTCAACTTCTGCAATTCAAGAGATATCCAAGTAGGGTTTTTTTGCAAGAACACAGATGGCTTTTGACTTCTCAATCTAGTCTATCGATTGATTATGTGCCATCAAGTCATTTTCAACTCCTAGCAACCTTGTAGATAGATTTTCTCCAAGACTATGCCTAAGACTATCCCTAACTTGTTCTTTCATGTCTCCCAACAGTGCACCCATCACCTTTGCAACTGAGTCACTCCACCTGGCTGCTGGCGGTCCTCTTCTTCTCTTTCCTTCCGCCTTTCCCAGCAGTAGAGCCTTCTGCAGGGGGCTGGTCTTCATGCTGACTGACTGACTGACGATGTGCCATCGAGTCAGTGTCCAGTCTCAGTGACCACGCAGATAGCTTGCCCCCAGGAAGACCAGTCCCTAACCTGGTCTTCCCATACCGCTGTCAATAAGCATTAGAGTTGGAGCAGAGTAAACACGGGAGGGCCACCTCAAGGTGCTCACAGGAACTGACCTGCTCTGGTCTGAGACCGATTTAGCAGCGGAGACCAACTTAGAAGACCAGTTTTGGATGCGTTCAAGAGGGGAAAGCATCTGTACTGGGGCGACCTCAGAAAAGAAGGGCGGGTTGAGCAGAGGGGCCCCAGTTCTCCTTCCCCTCCTGCTGCTGTTCGCATCTTCACCTGCCGTCTGGTTCTCAGGAGGTGCCAGCTGCAAGGGACGGTGCCCGCTGGTGAGAGAACGGCCGCTGGGGCATGAAAGGCACCAGTGGATGGGTGGTCTTTCCCAAAACCTTTTAGAGGAGTGTTTCTCAACCTGGGCCCCTTTAAGCTGGGTGGACTTCAAGTCCCAGAATTCCCCCCCCCCCCCCAACCCGGGGTGGAGTTTTTTGGGGGGGGGTGCACCAACAATTATATGGCGCCGGGGAGGGAAACAACTCCTAAAAAAATTTTT